TGCCACATTCTCACACACAGAAGCCTGGGGTTTGGACTGATACGCTAAACGTCACCATATCAAACAGATCCAATCTTTGCTTTGAAATACTACTTAAATGCAGACCGCAAGTGCAAGAGGCCTTCAATTAACAGCAGAAAGCAGGACTGAGCTCACATATTTAGACCCTTGAGGGAAATGACTGCACTTGCAGCCTGAGTTCCTTCCTGCCCCAGCCATATGCACTATGGATGCAGAGCAGAGCCCTTACATGTCTGTGCCTTGGTTTCCTTGCTATACAGTCAGGAGATCCACCTTTCTCTCTTGCTGCAGCTCACTGCAAGGACAGCTCCAGTAGTGCTCCAGGGCTCAGTGCTCTGCAGAAGCACCAAAGCCAAGCCAAGCCCGTCTTATAACTTCCTGTGGCTGCCGGCAACATCAGAGCCTCACAGGCAAGGCAGCTGGAGAACAACAGTTGGTCCCGAGATACATCTCCGGGTGTCATGACATTAGGGCAGAGGTACCCCATCAGCTACTATGGCCAGGCACTGACTGGCAGCAACAAAATTCTCCTCTTCCCCACTCCAGTCGTGCAAGGCTGACAGGGCCGATGTCGTCTGGCCTCAGCTCGCTAAGACACGATCCCCACAGAGCATTACTCTCCTCCATGCCCAGCTATTGCAACTCCACACGGCAAGGCAAGATACTTAAACCTTTTCTGTTTCTCATTCTTGTCTTACACCTTCCCCACTGACCACTGCCAACATCTCCTTCCAGCCTTCCACTCCAATCAGCCACCCCCAGCTCTCTGCAACCATAAGGCTTCCCACTCTTCAGTCAGTACACAGTTTTTCCCTCCACCGTTTTCCCACCTCTCCTTCTGCTCCGCTTGGCATCTCAGCACCAATTTCACTCTTCTGTACACCCCTTTGCTTGTGGTGGCCACACACAGCAACTAACCCAAGCAACTACTTTGCCAGTGCCCCGCTAAAGCCACCCATAATCGGCAGTCAGGGCAGGCACTCCACACTGCCCTGCCAACACACCTAGCAGAAGCACCTAGGAGGAGAAGGCAAACTCCATTTTAATGGCCCATCCAGCTTTGCGAGCTTTTGCAGACAATGTGCACCAGTTCTGTGTATACACTCAGGACAGCTAACAAGGAACTGATCAAAAGAAAAAATATATATACACATATCCACAAGAAATCACACTATTTTCTTTTTCATATGGATTCTAAGAAAGTAGAACTTGCTAAAAGTATCAAACTAGCACTGCTCTTCCTCCACCCCACACTGAGGAGGCAATCAGCTTTCACAGCAGATCCCAAAGCTACAGGACTGCACACAGGGTACTTCATATTGCAGCTACTTTCATACTACTTTGGTCCTGGCACTCAGTAGTATATACTGTATGTAGCCCCTACCAGTTCCCTTCTCTTGCACAGCCCAGTTAGAATACCCCACCCATGAAAAAAAAAAAAAATTGCATCAGGGCATGTAAATTTTATTAAACTACACATAGAACAGGTGCCCCTTTAAAGCATGACTCTTTTCCTCTCTGGAAGGCACATGTAGCAGGTTCCCTAGTGTCAGGTGTAGACTCAAGTGATGAAAGAAAAATACATAAATGTTTATTAAACCTTTGTTGCCATTCACACCACCAACTTTCACACCCCAGTGCCAAGCTGTTAACGAATTCCCATGCTGTTCCAGAAGACTTTTCACAGCTCCTGTCAGAAAAGGGAAGTTTCACGAGGGCAGCACTCACTGGAAAAGTCTCTGCTCTCGCCACCATCAACAAAAAATGTTCACAACCAGCTGTTTGTGGAATAAATGTGTCCTGCCCAAACTGTGTGGGAATAAAGACCTTCTTCCAGTGAGGCATGGGGCCACCTTCATGTACACCTCCTGATACGTATTTGTCTCAAGATTATTTATGCTAAGACTTCTCAATTTACCTAATGATCAGGACTAAAAATTAGCCGTGATAAGCCAAGTGACCACGAGCCGGTACGTGAGGCTCCAGGCCAGGTGGCAGCTGTATGTGCAGGCTACAGCTCATATGCTCGGACACAGCATCACCTCCTTGGGGAGCTCTGCAGCTCTAGGCTGCTGCCCAGGCAGGCAGCCCCACGGCAGGGCTCCTTTGGGCACGCAGACCCCCCGGGGAGGCAACGCACCACCTAGCCCTCCATGCCATGTTTCCTTCCTGGCACCCAGACTCTGCCGTGCTGCCGTACAGCTGGCAAGTGTGAGGCAGGGCCCTACGTGCAAGGCGCACACCGCCTGCTCGAGCCTCAGCAGGTCTGTAGAAGTGCCACAGTGAACTGCAGCGAAGGCGGTGTGAAATTGCACAGCAATTCTCTCTGCTGCCACAAATCCTCTTTTCCCCCACAACTAGCTCTTTTATCTGCCACTGGAGACCCTGTTCTAAAAGGAACAGGCAAAGTCAAGATGTTTCCCGCAAGATGAAGTGAACATTGCTACTCCTCTCAGAGTCATCCAAAACAAGAGGGGGGCGAAATGAAACACTTTCCCAACTCAAAAGGTGACAATTATTACACGCTACATTACAGCTTAGACAGCCTTTACAATACAGAAGCTTTGACAAGCTCACATTTAGTTTGTCCCTGGAGGACATGGGGACACCTACTCATGTCGATGTTTTGCACAGCATGTTGCTCAAAGCTTTACCATTTTGAAAAATGCACCTGAGGATCTTCAACTTCTCATGCAGATCCTGTAATTCAGCTGATCATAAAGCATAAAGAAGAACTAAGTGACTGTTATCAATGTATATTGCTAAATGAAATCAATCCCAAGCACTAGAACAGCAGCAGACTATTCCTACAACCGGAATGAATAAAGCAAATAGCTTTATTTGTTTTCCTCTTTTTAATATCAGAAAATTGTGCTCCCAAATAAATCCTTATATCAACAATTTAGCAGCGTGCTTCTGTCAATCCTAGTTGACAAATTATAGCCCAATATTCTATAAATTTTCCCATTAAACTAAACAATCTCAGAGATCTATTAGCACTCTGCCTCTGCCTGTACCTCATCTCTCAGCTTGCAGTCAGCTAGCACAGAAGCAAGATACTACAGAACATGCTGCATACTTCAGCTTCCTAGCTTACAATCAGCATGACCTGCAGTATTTGCCCAGGATGTATAGAAGACTTTGGAGAACTGGTCCTTCAGTGTGAAGGTAAATAAACTGACCAAGTAAGAGATTTGTTAGGTGACGGATCTTTAAGGTATTTTCTGTCGTTTCTAAATATTATACCATCTGATGTTTTCTAGTGGAAGGTAATTGCTGCCTTAAAGACAAAAATGCCCAAGCTTTTTCTTTTAGACTTATTACAACAATTAGAGATTCAACTTTTATTTTCTAGATGAGTTATTTGAGCAACACATCAAGCAACAGATTAGTATCTGAACCTGCTCATTGTCAAAGCCTGTAGTTCAAAAACACAGTGGCCATTTTTCCCTGCACAATGACTAATTTCCTTCGTGAGTCAATCTATCTCTCCTCCTTGATATTCTCACAACAGAGAGATGCTGCAAAAGCCAAGTTCCCCCAAGTGAGATGCTCAGCCAGTGTGGATCACTGCACTGAATGGCATGCCTCCTTGGAGCAGGTTTCTTGCAAAGCCCATTCCCCTTCGTAAGTGCCAAGAATCAAATCTTGGCCACCTAATGCAGTGTGTTCCACATGTTAGCTCGCAACACGTTGAGCAACTGTGTTAACTGAGATGGATAGCGCTGTCAAACAGGAAGCTGGCTCACCAGGATGGAAACAGTGGGATATGCTGACCTTTTACTTTCAGAAAAAAAGCATCCCTAAAACGACATGAAATGTTTCATATTAAAAAACAAAACAACTACCTTCTCGCAGAGCTTTTATTACCGTATTGTGTAAATAAACACATGTGCATGGTTTTCTGCCTGTATGCAGAACCTGAGCCTCTCTCACAGAGCAGAGCCTGACAGAGGAAATGAATCATTATCACCCTGCTTGGAAAGAAGTTTGTACAAGGAACGCTGCACTATTAACCACTGCCTGGAACTCCTGGATCCAACACCACCTCTGCTCCCTCTGCTCGCACGTTCAAATACCTAGCTATACAAAATAACTAAAACCACCATATAAAATCCAAACCCCCAGGCAAAGCTTCTATTAAACCACTCTAAATGTGCACAGGTTTTATTGATGACATGGAGATGAAACTGAAATTTACAGGCTTCTCATCCAAAAGAATAAGCACTGAAATAACCTGTTTAGTATAAAAAAGCCTCTTGAAATGCAAAGTTCATTCTGGAAAGACTTTTCCCAACCCACCACCTCCTGCCCGTCTCCCTCAAGATTAGGATTTTAGGTTTGTTTTTCTCAAGCTGATATTTTGGGTAGAAAGAGGAAAGCTTTGTTTATTTTAAGATTTCGCTGCTACTGGAGAATCATCGCTAAGTGGAAGAGCCTGTAGAGCTTTACAAAGGGCTTTGCAGCAATATAGTAGGTAGGTGAAAACAGATAAATCAGCCTGCACGTTTAGCACTACAACTATTGGCCATAAAAAGAGCATGTGTATATATATAGCCATTATATACAATGTATAATTTTAAAAATTAAAGACTATAATACGCTGTTCAAAATTGCCCTGGTACAAAGAGGAATATTAGATACCATCTAGCTGTACACCTGGAGGTTCTATCCAGCTCTTCTGTGCTGACTTCCTTGAAGCAGCAGCCTGCCTCCCGGTACAGAACAAATGTGTCATGAATATGCTGACTGATCATTATCACCATTTCACACTTCAGCAAGATCCAACTAATGCTTTCTAGGCAGGCTAACAAGGTAGGGCTTGTTGTACGCCTAGTTTAAGATTAAGCAATCAAGACAACTGATATAACCACTTCCAAGATTTGCCACCAATTTTCTTGCTTTCTCCTTACACCGAACAACCTCAGGTGCTGTCTTCTGCCAGTGCAGAGAAGAGGGAAAAGAACTTTATTGAATACCTTGTGCCTGAGCTGCAGAACTGTGGGAATACCCCAGAGCCAGGAGCGCTGTCTCCACCAGCTGGCTAAAGAGCACATCTTTGCGAACCAGAACGAACTCAGCATGCTCTTCTCGATTATCGTATTCAAGAGAGGCGTCCGACTGCTCCACCACACAAAAGACTGGAATCATCAAACCTAGATGAAAAAAAAACAAAAAAACAACAACAAAACATCAATAAGAGAGGAACAAGAAATGTGTCATACATCTCTGATTAAAGCTGTAAATTAAAACACCTCCTAGAAGGCTCATCTTAAGTGGAAATCTGCCTTTCTTCCCTGTGGGCTAGCTTTTGTTTTCTTTCCAAGGGAAATACTGAAGTCTCATCACTTGACTCATTTAAAAACCACACTAAAAACTCCAGAGAATACAATTCAGGAACAGAATCACAGTCAGCATGAGGACGAACAAGATTTCCTAATAAGACCTTTTCAACATTGCAGAAGTTTTCTACAGTTCCATGAACGTCCCTATTCTTTCAGGTCAGGGCTTCTCCACATTCAGCCATACGAAAACCTGACAAAAACGCCACTTCTGCTTCCCTCCACACAGTGAACGTATGGAGGTATCCGCAGAGGCTAGTCCCATACGCAGTTCTTGGCCAGGGTAGGTTTATTTGCACATTTTCAGACCATGGCCAGTCTTCTCACTGTGCAAGGAAAATACCCTTGCATTGATTTTGCTGAAAACAATAATCTTGTATTGGCAGCTGATGGTCATGCAGACCCAGAAAGGCCAGTGGCTGTTCTCCCCCGCTGCATGTATGAAGAGAGTGAGAACAGCTCTCTTCGAAAGAGGATCAAGGATGAGGAGGAACCACATAAGTGGAAAACTCAGGGGGTGGTCTGGATTCAATTTTGTTCTGTTTTATTGTAAATTTACTTTTGTGGTTACAGGATCAAGTCATCTATGGCATAAATTGTGGGGCATGAACTGAAAGGGATTCAATACTACAGACAGTAGAGAAACAAGCCAATTTGCAGTAGACGGCTCTACAGTACTCGAAGCGCGTGCACGGAGGGAAGATGGAACAGAGAGAAAACCTACAGAACTGCATGGCCAGGCTGTAGTCAGGGAGTGGCAAAGGAAAAACCATTACCTCCAGTCACAGAAATTTATTAATTGGTTACGTACAATTTGTTAGCCCACAGATAAACTAAGAAATATTGGGGCAGAGACAAATCTCAGCCTAAAGCAGTTCTCCAAATGTGCTATCTAAGGCTTGTAACACTGCCAGGAAGTTCACCTCTCACTCCTGTTCTTCAGAATGAAATATAACCATTTCCAGTAGATAACAACTATGAAAAATAACTGAGTATATTTACAAAAGGCCAGATACAAATCACTGTTTTCCTGGACCAGGCACTTCTTTAAGGGAAAAAGAAGAGAAAGCCACATTTCAGTTCTCCTTCCGTACAAAGTCAGGTAAGTATCTTCAAGATCTTCTACTATCAGTAGCTTCAGTATCTACAAACCAATAGTTATATATCCCTTCAGAGGAGTCACCCTGCCCTGAAATAGATATAGTCACACCAGTAACAACTGCTAAGGGACTTAGATCCTCCTTGTCTTGAATTTGCAGAGACTAGATTTACTTTAAAATATATTTTAGAGACACAATTCTCATTTAGTGACCTATCTGGCATGGAGCGGCTCCCAATCTGACATTCTAACTGCAGGCCAGCAGCAGCAGCTACAAGCTGAAATACCCAGTTGATGTGTTTTAGTTCTTTGTTTTAAAACACATCCTGAAGTAATGTGTAAGTAGGTTACGGCATCACACTGACACTGCTCCTTCTTCACTGCTTGATTCCGGGTTAAACTGATGCATTTTGCAAGTTCAAGCAGCCAAATTCTAACACACAGTGTTAAAAAAAAAAAAAATCTCAGTGAAAAAAAAATCTCTAGTGCTTTCCTGAAAAGACAGTGCAAGGCTGATCCTGTTCCTCTGAAATCAATGACAAAATTTCTATTCCTATCAAAGGTTAAAAACTGAATTCTGTTCGTCCATAAATCATTTAACTAGTTAAAATGAAATTTAACCTCTCTAAGCGACAACCTTCCCCTCCTGTCGAACATACAGTCTGCCACAGCACTTTTGATGGGGCTATTAATATCTTAACAAAAGCTTAAGATACTTGGCCAAATGCTGAGGCTTTGATATCGGTTGTGTAAATTACATTTTGGCAATGTAAAAAGTAGGTGAATGCAAACTGATGAGAGGGATGCCACAGCGCCTTTTATCCTCCTGCTGGATGCTTTCCTTGACACACAACAGTCCACCTTTTCAGCACACAAGTTGAACCTATTCTCCACACTCGTTGTTTACTGTCTCAGTACAAACAGGATGTCAAATGCTAGAACTGATGCTGTACATGACATCACTTTATGGATGGCACGAAGGACCCACAGGACTCTTGCCCATGATGACCTTCCTGCCCCTTCCTGCTGCCCATGCTTGCAGGGACCCTGCTACAGAAACAGCTTTTGCAAAAACATCTCTGAACTCAGTGACCCAGCGTAACTGATGACAAGCTGCTATTAGTACCTCAAAAACAGAGAGCAAAGGGCAGGTTACCACATCTGCCATTGCTAACCCATTCTCATGCCTCTCACTATAGCGCCTGGAATCTTAATACCAATCCTATTTTAGTAAGAAACAACAGTAATCCAACTTATTTCCAAGTAAATCTCACTCCAAGGAAGTTCCATCTGCTTTGCCCTCTATTTCGCACTGGAGAGTTAAGCTATAACGTCTCCAATGGATTTATTGCCTCAAACTTCTCTGCTTCCTGATGTTATCTGAAAATAAATTAACATAGTTTCAGTACGTTGGAATCAGAAGAAAAAACATCTGTAGCCAAAAGTCAACATGCTCTTTACACACTGATATACACCATGTCTTGCTCCTAGATGCATATATTACACCTCCAGCTCACTACAGGGCCCTTACAGAAAAGCAGTGCAAGTTAGTCACTGCTCATTGTCATTCCAGTTGAAGAACTTACAGCAATACTCAGAGAGCAGGAGACCAAGCATCCATAATGAAGTCTCACATGCAGTGCTACAGCAAGGCAAGCCAGCCTTACTCATAAATCCTGAAATTCCTCAGCTCTTGATCAGCCAGAACTACCGTCATCCTCCCTCTCCCATGCAAACGCACAAAAAAGGCTTAGGTCCCTCTCACACTGAACTTCCGTGCGTTTGCTCTCCCAGCCTTAGAGAGGTGCTGCAGTGAATGATGCTGTACAGCTCATGGTAGATGACATACGGCACAGATTTTCACACACGGAGAAAACAAGGGGTAGTCTGAGGGCTAAAAAGGAAACAGTTTGTTTCCTTAAAGGATGAACACAATGCTGGAATGCACACAAAACATTAAGAGCGATCACAAATTATACAAAAGACTTTTTCTCCTTGATGTTAATTCACTTAACCAACTTACAAGCAGCTCTTCCATGCTTCTCACAGAGCTTTCACCCCATATAGATAGCATCTGCATAAAATGTTAGGGGAGCATAAACCAAGATCTACATAAAGGCTTTTATAAGGAGACCCATACACAGCAAGAATTCCTTCTAATCCATGGAAGAGAACAGGGAAAAACTGTTCCCACTATTACCCAGAAGAACAGAATGGTTAGCAGTGGCCGGTACCTTTGTATAACATGTATTTTTAAAACAAATTAGAGATGGGATTTAAGCTCCACTGTTGCTTTCACGGAAAAGCTGCAATGTAGAGAGAAGACTTTGTAAACATAGTTGCTTTTTTTGCTGAGACTCTTCTAAGGGGCAGAGAAATTAAGACGACCTTAAATATGTATCAAAGAGACCTGTGTCCAAATGCACATTTTCTCCTCCTTGTCCATTTCAATCTATAGTTTTATTTCACTGGGGAGCAATCCATTCTTAAAAATGAAGGAAGGAGAAACATGTATTCCACTCAAGAAGTGAAAACTCTGGACGCTCTGCTGCATAAAACATTCATTTTTATAAAAAACTTGAAGCCAGTTAAAAGTATTACCAAACTGCAGTCGTGCAGCTCCCTGGAAAACATTTTCAGTTGTAAGATTTGCAAGTAAAAGCTGTAAATTTCTAATGACCAACTAGAAGGACAAGACAGAGCAGATATTAAGAAGTGCTGCACTGTTTCTTTTGTTCATCTGCAAATGATACTTTGTCCAGTGCATGCTTTAAAGCAAGTAATAAATGTAATACTATCAGCACTGAACTTGCATGCATTGTCCACTTCCACATAACCATCATAGGCTTGGCACCTAAAGCAAAAAAGAAAAGGATACAGAAAGCTGCGGAGGAGGTTAAACTATTTCAGCCACCCACCTCTCCAGCCGTTAAACAGGGAGCAGCACTTGCGTGTCCTAATAAGTATAATATGAAGATCGACCAATAAGAAGAGGCACCAATAAAATTCGTGTCTTTTTAGATTAAAATCTGTTTCCATCAGCACAAGTTTTGAGCCCCGTCTAGGTGTTATTTAATTTAATCTAATTTGAACAATTTCCAAACATCAGCTTGATTAATTTCAACAGCACGGTGTTATGGAAAGATTTACTGTACAGGGGTTGTCTAGTAGGGAATTAATAAAGAAGCCAGTTCTTAGCCCTGAGTAACATGAGGTTTTAAGACTTCCCAGATTTCTAGTGGGAATACTTCACAGCACAAGCATGTTTTCTTCTGGGAGTGAAACCCACCAAAATTATTAAAAACTGAGATCAAATGGTGGTGTCAAACCCAAAGGAAATCATTCTACAGTTGAGAGGTTTTTATCAAATGAAGGAAGTGGAAAATAAAGTTTTTGTTGTTGCTGTTGTGCTTTGTTTTTTTAGGTTTTGTTTATTGGTTGTTGTTTTTTTTTTAAACAGAACACAGACACACACGCAGAGTAATCTCCCTCAAAGACAAAGCAAATTTCTATGGTTGGGAGTTCATAAACCAGGACATTTATTTGAAAATTCATAAACTACTGAAAACTCTTCATTACTGTATGCAGAAAACATTTTCCCTAGCAGAGACTGTAACATGGGTCATTCTCGAAGCTAGTCTTTCCAATACAGAGAAAAGAAAAAAAAAAAAAAAGAAATCTAGGTAGCAGCAAGAGCAGAATCCACAAATGTTTATTCCCACGCACACCTCAAAACACTGAATTACAAGCAACTTCAGCTGGACTTCTAAGATGAGACCCTTACCCTGCAAGAGAGACTAGGAAGCTCCATTAGCAAAGCATGGGTCGTCTTGAGGAAATTATCTAGATAAAGATTCCATATATTTAACAATAAAGCATGCTTCCACAACTGGCAATAACCACAGGAAGCAATCAAACTACAAACATTTCCTAAACCTAATCTGCTTCTGTTTTGTCTTTAGGCGAGAGCCCTTTATCCAGCAAAGGCAGTGACGGGAAAGCAGTCCATTTCTTTATTTCTCTTTGTGCTGCAATAGAGCTGACCTTACGTATACCGATTTGGTATTTAATTCTCTCTTTCTTTTAAACAGATTTGAAAAATGAACCTAAATTGAGAAAACTGTTTTAAAAGGCAGAAATCAGCACCCATGCGGCACAGGAGAGGTTTGCCAGTTCTCCTCACATCCTGCGGCTCTAATTGAAAAGGCAGAAACCAATTAAGTTTGACAGCCTTCAGTTACTCAGAAATACCTGAATTTCTGCACCAAAGACGGCCATTCTACATCCTAGTGCAACATAAATCCATAACTTCTATTCTGAAAAACTTACCACCACCACCAAGGGAAAAAAAAAAGAAAGCAAAAAAAAAAGTGACGCTTCAAAGCTTCAGCGTGCCACTTCTTCAAAACGGTGTAAACTGCAAATCCTGAAGTGATCGGAAATGAAAACCTAGTGCGTATGCTAATAATCAGGAGGTTTCTATTCAAGACTCGACTAGCTGAACAAACATAGAATCACAGAATCATTTCAATTGGAAAAGACCTTTAAGATCACATATAATGAGAGAAGATAAATTCATAATGAGAAAAGACCAACTGCATTCCAAAACATTTTTTTCTAAGGCAGGACACCAAATAGTATTTGAAAAAACCATTTTTTTGTTCCGATCTCAACACCACTTTTATTTAAATCACAGTGTAGCTGTAGCTGGTGGTGATGTGAGATCTTCCCTAGAAAATCCTGCAGAGTCCAGCTGAGGGCTGCAGATACAGGATTCGCAATGACAGGCTGAACAGGCACGACCGTACCATTTCCACAGTGCCACACGTACGTGGCTATTCACACTCAAGAAGGATCAGGCTTGAAGCAGATCCCAGGTTCAGCCTATGCCTGTGCAATTCAGTGATGAGGTGGAAGAGACAGAGCTCACACATTTCAGCAAGGGTTAGTCATGTCCATTAAGGCTCACTTTCAAGCTACCCCATAAATTATAAATATAATTAAATTGGACAGAATATAAGCTGTTGGCACTTAACTTATTTACAATAAATGTTTGGTTTGGGTAAATGGACTGCGTTCCAGCCTTTTACATATCAAGCACCAGCTTACAACAGTCTCATTATGAGGCCGAGAATTCTTCCACTGTAAATCTTTTTTAATGGGGACTGGAGGAATGACTTTGCAGTTGTTTGTCACTAACCACTCGGAACCACGTGAAGAAAGCTGTGTGTGCACACTGACAGGCGGCCAGCGGGAAATCTCTATGTCAAATACAGGAGACCGTATCAGGATCTTTGCAACTGTACAACCCTATGCAAAACAAAAGCGTCAAGCACCTCATTACAGCAAAAGGTTTTGTTTAAAAACAAGGACCTTACTTTCTGCTAATCCTCTGCTCTCCAATGTGTTCTAGACAAAACGTGAGGTATCCGATTTTGCATATAACCAGTAATGCGATGCTGTTAAACTCCTGCTCTTCATGGGTTTATAAGCCTGTTGCAAATAATTTGTTCCAGGATGCAATTTGGTAAAGAAGAGCTCAGTCCACAGATGATTTTAATACGACGTTTGCCAAAGAAACAAAATCATGTTAAATAACATTACATTGTAGAATTTTTCTTCTTAGGAAGGCCAAAGGAAGTAAAACTAAGGACAATATCTTTCTCCTCCTCCTCAGTTATTTTTTCTGGCTTTACATATTCAGTAAATCTGTAGGCAGGAAATGCATTTCTACATATTATATTTTAGCCAATGGTGAATGCAAACCACAAGATATTATTTACATCCTTCTTCAGCTTCCAGTCCTTTCTGTGGCTTCAGTCTCCCAACCATCACAACTATCCCAGATCTCAGGAAATCTTACAAAGAAGTCACTAACGTCTCTGCAGATGTCCCCTGCTTCTGACAGCTTAACTAGCCAAAGAATCCTTCCCCTAGCTGAAATAACAGCTTTACTGTTTAACACGAAATATTCCAGGCCACTATCCCACCACAGAAACATACTATGAAACTCGTAACTTGATTTGATAATACTTGAGTTTCTCAAAAAAACAGTATAAAAGAAAAGCCGTATTCAGAGCATATGCTGAGACGAACAAGAAATGAGAAAAAGAGAGGGATGCAAAGTATTTACCTCTAGCGCAGCCTCTCCTGCTGCGTGTCTGGGACAGAACTGTTACTCTCAGGAGATGAGGCCTTTTGTTAGTCAAACTGGATCAGCTGCTTCTGGTAACGAACCCCCTTTGCTAAACTAGTTGCACTAACTCAACCCAAGCTTCGAATCTGTCACAGTGGTTGGGTTCAAAGGGCAAGAGAGGGAGCAGCCACTGGGGCTTTGTGCCACCCGGTTAGCCCAGGCACAGCCGCGCACAGGGCAGCCAGGAGGCAGAAGCAATTAAATGGGAGAATAAAGCACTTCCAGCTCTCCACCTCAACGAGTGAAAAGTGAGAGCGATGATAACCCAGACCTCAAAATACGGTTTTAAGGGAGCCTGAGTCAGAAGGCGGCACAAACAGCTGTCCCTGTTGTTCTAGCGGAAAGCTCAGCTTCCCCTGCCAGCCAGCCCCCCCCCGACGTGCAGGAACGTCTGTGGCAGTTCCAGCGCCACGCGTTCAGCCAGAACCACATGCAGGCTTTCCGATTCATAGAATAGAATCATAGAATCATTTAGGTTGGAAGAGACCCCCAAGATCATCAAGTCCAACCATTCACATCGAAAGGCAAAGGTGAAGAGCTACTTTTTTCCTAAATAGCTCAGTTGTTTCAACTTGTTTCCCAGTTAAAAAAGAAGAAAAAATACCCCACAGCAGTACTTTATAATATGAACTAATGGAAAATATACTCATTTCACTCAAAACCAGTGAAGGAAACGCTTTTAAATTAAACTGGCGTTTTTAAAAAAAATCATCTTAAGCCATTAATTTCCTATAAGTTTTAGGTTTTGGTTTCTGTAACTTAAAAACAAGTTTAGGGTTCGGGAGGGGTTTTTGGTTTGGGGGACTGTGTTCTGTTGTTTTTCTCTCAACTACGTAACAAAACTCGCCTAAGGGGCTAAGACTCTCTATGCCAAGTTCCACCCAGAATTAATTTTAATGACCAACATTTTTAAACCCTGAAAACTGGAACCACTAATAAGCCCCTAACTTCGGTGGTGCTAGCAGATGCCACCATATTATGTAATTTTTAAAGCAAAAAACCATCTTCTAGCAAAAGCATTTTAATGAAGGTTCTATTAACTAGTCTCCTGGTACTGGGATAAGTCCCCTGGAATGTAACAGAAAAGCTTTCATAGCTGGTTTGAGGTTTTATTTCTGGAGACGAGCTGTGTACCACACTCGGGCCTGTTTTGGGATCTCCACCGGGATCCACCAGCAAGCTCTTTTCTCCTTCGTGTCCATTCCTCTGTGAACACCCTCTGGCAAGAAAAAGAAGAAATCGAATCACCCCTCCTTCATGTTACCAGATAAATAGCTGATGGAGAGTCTAACATAACTACTGCACCTACATCTCTGTCTTCAAGCCCAACTGCAGGCTCCAGCTGTAAGACAAGCTGAATGGATCTGTAATTGTTGTAATCGTTGCCTCCTTCCCTCATGTCTTTTAGATACCGGCAGCGTTAGAAAACCTCATTTCTAAGTGACAATGTCAACAGATATGGCAGAACTGGTTATGGGCAAAAGTTACTAGTAAGCACACAATAGGACAAGCCACATTAAACACTGTCTCAGAATAAATGCCATCGAACTCAATCGTTACTGATGGAGCTCTTCATCCTGCTACGCTTTCAGCAAGGGTTCAGCTACTGCTATGGCAACATCATTACTAGATGGTATTTTTCTGGTATAAGGAGACCACAGAAATCTTCATCAGATCTTCCGCGGGAAAATGAATGGAGGAGAGAACCACAACCAAGAAAGAGTAGGAGCCGCTGCGTCATTCCACCCTCTAGAAAGCAGTTAACTTCCCCCTCTGTCTCCCTTTCCACCAGTCAATATGCAGAGGCTTCAGACAGCCTGCACCCACGGCCCATTATGGGTCAGGAACCGGCATCTGGGGCTTGGCCTTTACTTACAACTCCAATCTTCCACACCCCACGCCCCTGCAGAAAGAGAGCAACTTCTGAGTGGCACTCTCTTGTATTCCTTCTTTTTCAAGGACAGAAGACCAAGAGCTGCGGGGGAAGCACTCCACATTTTCACAAAGACGAGATCATACATTTGACAACTACCCATTTGAACATTCTTCTTTTAGGAACATTTACTTTTATCAGCCAGCAGGTCACATTAATCTAGGAATTTTTAATAACTACCACATCTTTATCAAACAAGTCATGAGGTCGAGGAACAAGAGTTAACAGGTACATCCTCTTTCTCAGGTATGCACAGTCCACTTACTTTGTTCAGCCAGTCAGTGATATTTTGGAGAGAGAATGGAAAGGACCTTCCTACAGGCTGACCTACTGTGCGTGGATTCACTTGTTAAGAGTCAGCAATCCATGCTTTTGGGGCTCAACAGGCTGAATTGCTACAACATTACGTACACAGAGCTACACTGCAGAATCAGATACTTCTGCTAGTGCAAATGCATGTGCTCGCTTAGAGGTGTTAGCCAAAGAAAGCAGATTACATCTGCTCTCCAAAGGCTGAACTGGCTCCCGGTTCACTTCCGGATGCCATTCCAAATGTTGATTTATAAAGCTGTATGGTACACGACTTGAGCCAAGGCTACCGTAGAGAGGATCTCTCTTTCCACGCATGGTACGGCAGAAAGGACACTTCTGCTTACAGCTCTAGGACTCAGCTTCAGAGAAAATGGAGAGCCAAGCTCCCTCAGCCTCTTGACCTTTGACTACAGTCAGGTCCCTTTTCAAGAGGAACACAGTATACACCCAGCACGGGGCCTTTCTGTCTGTGGGTTTTTCATCAGAAGACTGAGATGGTGAGGTAGCTGAAGGGTCACAGACGATTCAGTCCCAGGTAGCAATGGCTTAAGAAACCAAGTACTCTTACTGGCATACATGTCCACAGATTTGGAGAGGCAAAAAACATGGGAAAAAAACATAAAGCAGCACAGCTTTTTATTTTGAAGGACAAAGGAGTCTTTTTTACTACTTTCTACCTGTCCATGGCATTCTCTGAGCTATTTGGTAGGTCAGTATGACACTGTGATCGTGTTAATATAATCAGGAAGGCTCAAACCAATGACAGAAACATTGCACTCATAATTAAGCCAAATCCAGACACTCAGATAATGCCTAACTTGAGCTTTACTGTCAAGCAGTACGCGTACTTACTGCGTACTTGCTCACAGCAGCCCATACAAAGTCTACCATCCAGACTCCTAGCATGAGCAACAAACATGACTTAAAAAAAAGGGGGAAAAATAAAAAAAACCCCACACTTCTGTTATTCTGCATTTTCTCCAAGTCTAAAAATTGGTAGAGTGTATGACAGGTCCACCTCATTTTTCTTAACGATGTTTTTATTATTCTTTCACTCAATTAAAACAGAAATGGATATTGCATCTTCTGACTGTATAATTGTTATTGTAATCTGTTTTCGATCACTGCTTGGGAAATGGGTCCAAAACAACATAAACTATCCACAGCCTCAGAATACAAGTCATTTTCTTTTACTACGATACTTAAAGAGACATCTATCATGTTGCTCTGCTAGCATGTTTGTATTATGGCAAAAAAGTTATTTGTAAGTTGGGAAAAGACATTATGAAAATCACCTTTTACTCCAAAGTATTGTGTAACTCATAATTTATAACTACATTTCTTAATAACCATTCAAAATAATAAGGCTGGAAATTGTGCACATCTAATTTTAATATATAAATAATGGAAATGCATATAAACCAAAATATGCTCAAAATATGAATTTATATTACTCTTGAAAAATAGTCTGGTTATAGTTTTGAAAATGACGTGCTTCATTTCCAATATATGCCTGTCAGCTAAATTTATGACAAAACACTCTCTGTGAGTTTAGATTACCATGATGGTAAATACTTCCATGCGAGTTTCCTCACTTAGCTGAAGTTTCCGTCCGAATGCAGACAAAGTCAGCAGCTTCTAGAGAGTGAAGTCTCAGCGATACACAAGTAAAGACAGACTAATCCAGCCACTTCTCAACATTATACAAATACAAATAGAACATCTGAGAGAGAGAGAGAGAGAGAAAGTAACCTTGCGGCTGTATGCAGTGATACAGATCATGGTTTTTGATAAAAGAAACTCCCCTCCTGACATTTCTTACCAGATTCAGTACTTTTGAAAAGGTTTACTGTCAATAGAGTGTCTTTTCAGCTCAGCGTGTGTCTTTGGGGAACAAATAAGGAGGGAGCATATTTAAGTGGGAGACATTTCTACTGCACTCTGAAAATGCAGTGGGTGTATGGTTATCTCAAGAGATGCCTCAGCTTCATATAAAATATAGTCTGACAGGTTATTTTTATTAATCTTTTTCTGAGCTTTTTTACCTTGCTGACATTGCTACTAACAAGGCACAGTTGTGCTCAGACTGTTTAATATTGCAGGTCTGTCTGACACCAGGACATCAGTTAGAGAAAAACGACTGACAATTTTTACTATTAGCCAGGTAATTTTCTATTTAGAAAAGAAGTCATATGCTTAAACGTTTATCTAGACCTACCTGTCTCTTTTCTTCACGTTCTTTTTGTTCCCTTCACACAAATAATGACAATCCTCTCTTTTTCCTAACATCGCTTCGTGTAACACCAATAATCATTCAGCATTTGCCAGGAAATTTAAAATATAACTTGAGTTCAGACTCGAGATCTCTGCCCTAGCATCTGGCTTAGGATACTAGCAATGCAGGGCTCATACTCAGTCTTTTAAGCAATCCTGTAAATTATTTGTGTAGCCCTAGTCCAAGTAGAAATACCTCCTGGAAGGAGGTTTTACCTAAGTCCTCAGATATTAGCAACATCAGTGTTCACACCTTTAAAAATCAGAGTAAGAATTACACTTTTTTTAAGGAAGAAAAAAGAACAAAAACCTTTCAAACATTGTCTATAAGGGTTTCACAGTGTCAGCAGCCTTAAATTGTTAACAGACAAATGCTGACATCTTGGTGTATTTGTAAATCTTCAGGGGATACCAGCAGAGCTAGTACAGGTATTTAAAAAGAAAAAACAACTTT